AGAGAGAGAGAGAGAGAGAGAGAGAGAGAGAGAAGAGAGACAATTTTTTAATATTTATTTTTCAGTTTTCAATGGACACAACATCTTTATTTTATGTGGTGCTAAGGATCGAACCCAGCGCCCTGCACATGCCAGATGAGTGCGTTACCCTTTGAGCCACATCCCCAGCCCCTTGGTTGGGACTTTTAAACATAAATAAAAACTATAAGTAAGCCATATTTCATTATAAAACCTTACAAAACAATAAACTTAAAAAATGAATTCACTCCATGTCACAAATGGAGCTAATACCATTTTGAATATATTATTATATTCAAAATCTCCCAGTATTGATTTACAATGTGTGTATTCACAGAGCATACGCTGGTACAGATACAGACAGCAAACAGTCAAGTCACCTTGTTTCCTTTAAAACATGAATAAAACATACAGTGCATATCATGATCTATGTGCTCTGCACTTTAATGTTTCGCATGTTTCTCAGCACAACTGGTCTGTAGTTTTGCTCCAAATTTTCCATGTATTCAAAATAATCACTCACTCGAAACCCATGCAGTGCTTCTTCCTGCCAAGAAATATTAAGGGAAGTTCATTCACTTTGGTAAAGACATATAATTCCAAGTTAATAATTTTAAAATAATTGATGTAACATTTAATTTCAGCTATGGATGGTGGTACTTTATGTTGCCAGTTAATGTATAATTGCTTTGTCTTTAGTGGGCTGTGTATGCAGATGGTAGGAATGAATCATATCCTATGAAACAAGGTTATCTACTCTCAAAACCAAAGATTTTATAGCTAACAACAACAACAATAACAACAACAACCCCTCAGATGTCATTAGTCACTTATGAGCAATAATGTGCAGCTTGTAAATGTATCATTTAAAGATCTACATAATGAGGAAGAGGTTAGTTGGGATATTCTAAAGAAATTAATTATTGATCTATGAGCCTAATAAAAGCTGAAGAAATATGATATTTTTATATAACATTACATCATGAAAGCAAGAGCTCATAGCTTCCAACATAAATATCTGAACTCTCAAGTAACTGTGACATTATTTCACTTCTTCATTCATACACTCACTTGGCTATTACATCGAAGGTTCTTGGTTATGCAATCAAGAGACAAAGATGAATAGGGGCCCTGTCCTAAAATGTTAACAGGTATATAGCATGTCTCCAACTATTTGTATAAGAAACTTCAGTTAATTATCTTCAAAGGAAAGATGTTCATGATGAATGGCAGAATACTAGGTCTTTGTACATTTCTTTCCTACCAAAAATACTTCACTTTTTACAAGGGAGAAAAAAGGATTAAAGTAAGACCAAAATTACTGTTCAAGAGTTTATTTAATCTTATTGGAGTGAGATGGTATCTTAGGGTGGTTTTGATTTGCATTTCTCTGACTGCTAGAGATGGTGAGCATTTTTTCATGTACTTGTTGA